GCATTAAACCCTCAAGCACGAGGTTTTTCAAGAAAAACAATTAAACGAGAAATTATTCGTCAGTATAAAACTGGAAAAATAAATTTGGCAAATTTTTTTCTCAATTTTAATTCTCGTGTTGCTATTTGTTCTGATATTTGGAGTGAAACTTATCATAATTTGTCTTATATGGGTGTTACTTGTCATTGGATAGATAGTGATTGGATTATGCATAAACGTGTTCTTGCATTTCGTGATTTCAATGAACAGCATAATGCTGAAAATATTTTCCTATTGCTTCAGAGTATTCTGCGGGAATACAACTTATCTGACAAAGTGTTTTCATTTGGTTTTGATAATGCTACTAATAATACTGCAGTTATTCCTAGACTTAGAGAAATTTGCCCACCATCTACGTCTATGGGTAGATTTCTGCATCAACGGTGTGCCTGTCATGTTTTAAATTTATGTGTTCAACAAGGACTAGAAGCTATGGGCGGAGTTTTGACGAATATTAAAGAAGGAATTAAAAAAATTTGGGGGGATCTTCTTGTTTCGAGGTCCTGGAATATGTTCTGTAAGTCTAAGGGTAGAAAAGAAATAGTTTTTGCCAAAGATATCCACATTAGATGGAATAGTACATACAAATTGATTCACCAGATTCTAAAATATAAAGAGGAACTTGCTGAATTTTTTAGGGATGAACTTCGTATAATCATTGATCCTTTTGAATTTGTTATTGTTGAAAAATTGAATGCCGTATTAGAAGTTTTTAATAACGCAACTCTTACTTTTTCTCATGTTTACCAACCAACTACAAATACATTTTTAAAAGAGTGCGTTACAATCGCAACATGTTTTCGTGAAAGTAAGGCTGATCCAGATTTGTACCCATATGTCTCTCCTATGATACAAAAATGGTGTGCTTATTATTTGTACATTCCTGATATTTATAAAATAGGTATTATTTGTGATCCACGCTTTAAGATTGAAAATTATAAAATTTTAATTGAGTATAACTACAGTTGTTTTTTAGATGAAAATAGTTATTACTACAGTCATTTAGTAGAATGGAAAAAAGAAAGAGATAATGCTGTAACTTTTTTTGAGAATTTGTTTGAGGAATATCAGGGGTTATACGGCACTGTACAAGAAGAAGCAGCACCACCTCCGCCCCCGAAATCAAAAAAAGGTTTTGCCGGAATAGTCGGTGGTCTTCTTGCAAAGAAAGGGAAGCGTGCTCATTCTTCGACGAGTTCAAGTGGTACAACAGTAAGCTCGCACAACGAACTTGCTATGTACCAGGGTGTGCCATGCGATTACGACGACGACGACGTGGATTTTGATGTGCTCGGATGGTG